TCCCTAAAACGAACCACCTGTAATAAACTTTCCTAAAACGACCACCAGAACTGCACTTTCCCTATAAACGAAACCGCTAAATAACTTTCCTAAAACGACCACCAGAACTGACTTTCCCTAAAACGAAACGCCTGAAATAATACTTTCCTAAACGACCACCAAGAACTGACTTTCCCTATAACGAACACCTGTAATAAACTTTCCTTAAAACGACCACCAAGAACTGACTTTCCCTATAAAACGAACCACCTGTATAAACTTTCCTCAATACGACCACCGAGAACTGACTGTTCCCTAAACGACCACCTGTAATAAACTTTCCTAAAACTGTGACCACCGAGAACTGACTTTCCCTAAAACGAACGCCTTAACAATAAACTTTCCTAAACGGACCACCGAGAACTGACTTTCCCTAAAACGAACCACCTTAAATAATACTTTCCTTAAACGCCCACATGAGAAACCTGACTTTCCCTAAAACGAACCGCCTAAAATGAACTTTCCTAAAACGACCACCAAGAACTGACTTTCCCTAAAACGAACCACCTGTAATAAACTTTCCTAAAACGACCACCGAGAACTGACTTTCCCTAAAACGAACCACCTGTAATAAACTTTCCTAAAACGACCACCGAGAACTGACTTTCCCTAAAACGAACCGCCTAAAATAAACTTTCTTAAAACGACCACCGAGAACTGACTTCCCTAAACGAACCACCTGTAATAAACTTTCCTAAACGACCACCAAGAACTGACTTTCCCTAAAACGAACCGCCTAAAATGAAACTTTCCTAAAACGACCACCAAGAACTGACTTTCCCTATAACGAACCGCCTGAAATTAACTTTCCTTAAACGGCCACCAAGAACTGACTTTCCCTATAACGAACCACCTGTAATAAACTTTCCTAAAACGACCACCAAGAACTGACTTTCCCTAAAACGAACCACCTGTAATAAACTTTCCTAAAACGACCACCGAGAACTGACTTTCCCTAAAACGAACCGCCTAAAATAAACTTTCCTAAAACGACCACCAAGAACTGACTTTCCCTATAACGAACCGCCTGAAATTAACTTTCCTTAAACGGCCACCAAGAACTGACTTTCCCTATAACGAACCACCTGTAATAAACTTTCCTAAAACGACCACCAAGAACTGACTATCCCTAAAACGAACCGCCTAAAATAAACTTTCTTAAAACGACCACCGAGAACTGACTTTCCCTAAAACGAACCACCTGTAATAAACTTTCCTAAAACGACCACCAAGAACTGACTTTCCCTAAAACGAACCGCCTAAAATGAACTTTCCTAAAACGACCACCGAGAACTGACTTTCCCTAAAACGAACCACCTGTAATAAACTTTCCTAAAACGACCACCGAGAACTGACTTTCCCTAAAACGAACCACCTGTAATAAACTTTCCTAAAACGACCACCGAGAACTGACTTTCCCTAAAACGAACCGCCTAAAATAAACTTTCTTAAAACGACCACCGAGAACTGACTTTCCCTAAAACGAACCACCTGTAATAAACTTTCCTAAAACGACCACCAAGAACTGACTTTCCCTAAAACGAACCGCCTAAAATGAACTTTCCTAAAACGACCACCAAGAACTGACTTTCCCTATAACGAACCGCCTGAAATTAACTTTCCTTAAACGGCCACCAAGAACTGACTTTCCCTATAACGAACCACCTGTAATAAACTTTCCTAAAACGACCACCAAGAACTGACTTTCCCTATAACGAACCACCTGTAATAAACTTTCCTAAACGACCACCGAGAACTGACTTTCCCTAAAACGAACCGCCTAAAATAAACTTTCCTAAACGACCACCAAGAACTGACTTTCCCTATAACGAACAGCCTGAAATTAACTTTCCTTAAACGGCCACCAAGAACTGACTTTCCCTATAACGAACCACCTGTAATAAACTTTCCTAAAACGACCACCAAGAACTGACTATCCCTAGGAACGACCACCTAGGAACTGAAACCCCCTAGACCTGACTTCCCCTATCACGACCTCCCAAAACACTCTTACAAGAAGAGACAGAAAGAAGAAAAAATAAAAAGAGACAGAAAGAAAAAAAAAAAAGAAAAAGAAGAAAAAGAGAGAAAGAAAAGAAAAATAAGCACAACACCAATCGTACCTGGACTTTCATATCCGTGAGCTTATCTCCCGGCTGGTACGTGAGAGCCCCCAGGAAAGCGTCATCGAGCATCCCTCCGTCATCAGCATCGACGACAGTAAAGGTCTTGCCTCCTGTCGCCTCAGCCAGACTCTCCAGGTTGGGGTCCGCTTGGTCTCTGTTAAAAGAAAAGAATCATCTCCATTCATGATTCGTCTTGATTCGCCGCGTTCATTCCCATGGAACCGTTCGCTAGTCCTGTTAATTCGAATGAAGGCGCGCCATGGGGAATCATAAACAGTGATTCGCGTGGGACCAATTTTTTCATCAGTTACTGCGATGTTATAGGAATCGTGCATAGGTGGTTCCATGTTAAAATTATGATATAAAGGCTGTTTTATGTAAGAAGAATCCTATAGGCTGTTATGAATGATAAGAATCATTTGTAGGCTGCTATATGTTATAAGAACTACACATGAACTACACATGGATTGTTGTATGTTATAAGGATCACACATGCACGGTGTTCTCGTACTAAATTGATTAGCGTGATTGGTAACATGACCGGCATTTATTTGATCGCAGAAACTGGTGAAAAATAAGTGTGATAAGTTTAAATGAGTGTTTGATATTGGAATTTGTGTGAATGAACGGTCGTAGGTGTGTAACTGGTAAATATGAATGTGTCGTGTTGTGACTGGCATACGTATCAAAATAAGAATAAGAGAATACGTAGTGTGTAGTGTTGTGATTAGCATGGATGACGGTGTAGTGTTAGGAATAAATTAGTGATAGTGTTATAATGTACGTGAATGAATGTGTAAAATTATGATCGGTGTGTGTGTGTCTAGTTGTGATTAGTGTGAATGAGAGAATGTGTAATGCTGCGGTCGGTGGATAAGATTATGCAAGTCTTGTGACTAGTATGAATAAGTAAGTGTACAATGTTGTAATTAGTGTGAATGAATGATTGTCGCTACGTAAGTAAGTGTGCAGTTGTTGTGAGTAGTGTAAATGAGAGAGTGCGTAGTTTTGTAATTGACGTAGATGAGAATGTAGTCTTAGGATTACTGTGAATGAGTGAATGTGCAATGCCGTGTTAATTGTAAATAGGTGTAGTTTTGTAAGTGAGTTTGCAGTAATGGGAGTAGTGTGAAGGAGAGATTGCACATGACTTTTCAATTTTGTGATTAGTATGAATAAGTATGTGCAGTTATTATTAGTGTGAATGTGTACTATTGTAATTGATGTGGATAAGTGAGTGTGTAGTATTGGGGTTAGTGTAGATGATTGTTTAGTGTTGTGATAAGTGTTTATAAGGATGTAGCGTTGTTATTAACGTAAATAAATGAGTGAAACAATGCAACGTTATAGTAACTTACTCAGGTGTGCATCGTTGTAATTAGTGTGAATGAATGATTATCGCTACGTAAGTAAGTGTGCAGTTGTTGTGAGTAGTGTAAATGAGAGAGTGCGTAGTTTTGTAACTGACGTATGTAGAGAATGTAGTCTTAGGATTACTGTGAATGAGTGAATGTACAATGCCGTGTTAATTGTAAATAGGTGTAGTTTTGTAAGTGAGTTTGCAGTAATGGGAGTAGTGTGAAGGAGAGATTGCACATGACTTTTCAATTTTGTGATTAGTATGAATAAGTATGTGCAGTTATTATTAATGTGAATGCGTACTATTGTAATTGATGTGGATAAGTGAGTGTGTAGTATTGGGGTTAGTGTAGATGATTGTTTAGTGTTGTGATAAGTGTTTATAAGGATGTAGCGTTGTTATTAACGTAAATAAATGAGTGAAACAATGCAACGTTATGGTAACTTATTCTCAGGTGTGCATCGTTGTAATTAGTGTATTTGAGTGTGTTACGTTGCAATTAATGTAAAGAAATTAATGTGATTACTACAATCAAGGGGGTAATATTCTTTATTGCAGAAAAGTGTGTGGCATTGCATTTAGTACGGAAAAGTGTAATGAGTAATGAGTAATGTTAATCTAAGATAAATATATAACGTTGTAAGACAACGCTTAATTATTGTGTAAAGCGGGATTGATGTTGATAAGCTTAAATAATGTACATCAGTACACAATCAATCTGAGTGAAATCAATAGAACAACGAACAGGTATAATTAATACATATCTTCACTGCAACTTACACCGTAGTGATTCGACTCTTTCTTCCCACCAGCGGGAGTCTAATGTTGCACAGGAGAAACAATACATAAGAGAGAGAAAAAAAAACAACTCACCCGAAAGCAATAGTCACTACTCTTGCACCCGAATCGATCACTTTGTCTTTCACGTCAGATATGTAAGGCGACTTGTTCTCCTTACCGTCCGTAACAAGGACAATCACGGGGTTCTTTTGCCCAACCAAAACCTGACGAAAAAAACATAGATGAATCAGTTAAAACGGAATGTTATATAAACATCCTTTAGCGTTTTGTTCCAATGATAGGGATTAAATGTAACGAATGGTGTTGTATGGAGGATCTTGGTTATATTACTATACTATTAGTGCATACCATCAGTACTACATAATATAGACAGATAAAGAGAAAGAGAGAGAGAGAGAGAGAGAGAGAGAGAGAGAGAGAGAGAGAGAGAGAGAGAGAGAGAGAGAGAGAGAGAGAACAGAAAGACAGACATATAGACAGAGCAAAGCCAGCAAGCCTTTGCCGACCCCCCCCCTCCCCCCCTTACATTATTGACAGCGAGTGAGAGTCCGGCGCCGATGCTGGTGGACCTGCCGAGCTTCTTGTCAATAAGATTTGCTAGATTTTGGCGAGATGCTTGGTCTGTGATCTTGGTTAGGTTGGCGGGCATTGAGGCAGTTCCCCTGAAATAAGGAAAGCAGGAAGGTTTGAATGTCTTGTGTTTGTGCATGCGCGTGTTTGTATGTGTTTGTTTTGTATGTTTGTTTTGTTTATTTGTGTGTGTGTGTTTGTGTGTGTGTGTGTCTGTAATGTGTGTGTGTGTGTCTGCGTGTGCGTATGTGCGTGTGTGTGTGTGTGTGTGTGTGTGTGTGTGTGTGTGTGTGTGTGTGTGTGTGTGTGTGTGTGTGTGTGTGTGTGTGTGTGTGTGTGTGTGTGTGTGTGTGTGTGTTGTGTGTGTGTGTATGTGTCTGCGTGCGCGTGTGTGCGTGTGTATGTGTTTGTTTGTTTGCGTATGTGCACATTTGTTTATACGTGTGTGCGTGTGCATGATTTACGTACGTAAGATTACCGTAGGATTCGTAAGATTACCATTATTCATGTATGCCTTCGCGTGTGTGTACGCCAGTATTGACATACAACCTACATACAACCCCTCCCCCCCACCCCTACACCAACCCTAGACGCCCACAAGAGAGGCGAGAGAGAGAGAGAGACAGAAAGACAGACATATAGACAGAGCAAAGCCAGCAAGCCTTTGCCGACCCCCCCCTCCCCCCCTTACATTATTGACAGCGAGTGAGAGTCCGGCGCCGATGCTGGTGGACCTGCCGAGCTTCTTGTCAATAAGATTTGCTAGATTTTGGCGAGATGCTTGGTCTGTGATCTTGGTTAGGTTGGCGGGCATTGAGGCTGTTCCCCTGAAATAAGGAAAGCAGGCTCCCCACCCCTACACCAACCCTAGACGCCCACAAGAGAGGAGAAAACCCACCAGAACTTCACGATGCCCACAAAGCTTCCCTGCGCCACCTCGTGCAAAATCCACCTCTGCGCCGTCCTCTGCAGTTTCTCAATCCGTTGGTAACTGTCCATGCTGAGCGAGTAATCAAGGACCAGGCAGAACTTGGCTTCCTCCTGACGCAGCACGGTGATCCTCGTGGGCGTGGGGGCGGCGATGGGAGGGTTCCTGGTGGTTGGGAAAAGAAGGACGATGTATAGGAGAGGTGTGAAAGGGATACGCGTCGGACATGGCGATGATTTAGTGTCGGGTTTGTGATTAAAGATGTGTAAAACTTGATATGAAATGTTATTTGCACATACAGGAGATATAGAACTTGCATACATGCATACATACATACATACATACATACATACATACATACATACATACGTACATACATACGTACATACATACGTACATACATAATATATACATACATATAATATATACATACATATATACATACATACATATAAATATACATTCATACAATCATACATGCATACATACACAGTATAAGTATATACATACATACATAGTTACTTATATACATACACACATATATATGTGTGTGCGTGTGTGTGTATGTGTGTGTGTCTGTGCGTGTGTGTGTGTGTGTGTGTGTGTGTGTGTGTGTGTGTGTGTGTGTGTGTGTGTGTGTGTGTGTGTGTGTGTGTGTGTGTGTGTGTGTATTCATACCGGGCATACATAAACAACTTACGCTCCGTTAGCAAAGTCTGAATGCTGACTGATAACGTCCCAGACCGAGCGGCTGTTGCACATGAGGTTGTGTCTGTTGGGAGCCAAGTCGTTATGTGAGAACTGTTCATCGGTCGCCGTGTCGCAGAATTCTACGATCTGGGGAGAAGGGAAGGGATGGCAGTGGATGAAGTGCGGAACAAGTAGAATTAGAATAGGAAGAGAATGGAAAAAAAAACGGTATAAGAAGAATTAGAATAGGAAGAAAATGAAAAAAAAAAAAACGGAACAAGAAGAATTAGAATAGGTCAAGAATGGGATAAAATGGATAAAGATGGCCAAACACAGATTTATAAATGAACGAGAAGGTAAGAAGAGGTTATCAAAGAGAGAGAGAGAGACAGACAGACAGACAGACAGACAGACAGACAGACAGACAGACAGACAGACAGACTGACTGACTGACAGACAGACAGAGAGACAGAGCGAGAGAGGAAGGAAAACAAAGAAAGGGAGAGAAAGTGAGACAGTCAAACAAACAAGACACAAAGACAGAGAACCAAAAAAGCAAAAACAAAAACAAATAGACAGAAAAATAAAAGAACTTTCCGAGTAGAAAAGATACCACCATACAACAAGGACTCACGCTGTTGATGTAGTAATAGGCCATAAGAGACGACGTGGCATCTTGATCAGCACTCGGCAGGAAGCGGCAGTTCTCGTTGGGGAATCCGCTCGTGAAACTACACTGTCCCCGACTCACAATGTCCCTGGGAAGAAAAGGATAATGGGAATGGAGACGTTGGTTACAAGAGATAGTATGTTTGTCCTACAACGACTGATGAATGCTGTGTCTTATTAGATTAACTTGTCTCTTATTATTTCATACTTCTTGGCGTTTTGCTGTTGTTGTTCTTGTGTTTATTCTGATTATTTTGAAATCTGTCGAACACATAACGAGGAATTTCAATACTTATTGCTATTATAGGTGATTAGGCTGTTATATGTTGCTATTTTAAGAGATGCTTGCTTGCAGTGTCCCTCTAGAGACGTAAAATCAGTACAAAATGTCTTTGTACCCATAAAATCATATAGATAATTCATGATAAACTGTCGACATGCACACACACACACACACACACACACACACACACACACACACACACACACACACACACACACACACACACACACACACACACACACACACACACACACACACACACACACACACACACACACACACACACACACACACACACACACACACACACACACACACACACACACACACACACACACACACACACACACACACACACACACACACACACACACACACACACACACACACACACACACACACACACACACACACACACACACACACACACACACACACACACACACACACACACACACACACACACACACACACACACACACACACACACACACACACACACACACACACACACACACACACACACACACACACACACACACACACACACACACACACACACACACACACACACACACACACACACACACACACACACACACACACACACACACACACACACACACACACACACACACACACACACACACACACACACACACACACACACACACACACACACACACACACACACACACACACACACACACACACACACACACACACACACACACACACACACACACACACACACACACACACACACACACACACACACACACACACACACACACACACACACACACACACACACACACACACACACACACACACACACACACACACACACACACACACACACACACACACACACACACACACACACACACACACACACACACACACACACACACACACACACACACACACACACACACACACACACACACACACACACACACACACACACACACACACACACACACACACACACACACACACACACACACACACACACACACACACACACACACACACACACACACACACACACACACACACACACACACACACACACACACACACACACACACACACACACACACACACACACACACACACACACACACACACACACACACACACACACACACACACACACACACACACACACACACACACACACACACACACACACACACACACACACACACACACACACACACACACACACACACACACACACACACACACACACACACACACACACACACACACACACACACACACACACACACACACACACACACACACACACACACACACACACACACACACACACACACACACACACACACACACACACACACACACACACACACACACACACACACACACACACACACACACACACACACACACACACACACACACACACACACACACACACACACACACACACACACACACACACACACACACACACACACACACACACACACACACACACACACACACACACACACACACACACACACACACACACACACACACACACACACACACACACACACACACACACACACACACACACACACACACACACACACACACACACACACACACACACACACACACACACACACACACACACACACACACACACACACACACACACACACACACACACACACACACACACACACACACACACACACACACACACACACACACACACACACACACACACACACACACACACACACACACACACACACACACACACACACACACACACACACACACACACACACACACACACACACACACACACACACACACACACACACACACACACACACACACACACACACACACACACACACACACACACACACACACACACACACACACACACACACACACACACACACACACACACACACACACACACACACACACACACACACACACACACACACACACACACACACACACACACACACACACACACACACACACACACACACACACACACACACACACACACACACACACACACACACACACACACACACACACACACACACACACACACACACACACACACACACACACACACACACACACACACACACACACACACACACACACACACACACACACACACACACACACACACACACACACACACACACACACACACACACACACACACACACACACACACACACACACACACACACACACACACACACACACACACACACACACACACACACACACACACACACACACACATGTGCCATGAAGGATAATCAGCTTACGTGCTCCCTGGCAAGGAAACAATAGGATACAGAAGGCAAGATAAGAACAATCTTTACCATTTTTTTCCCTTTATCTTATTCTTCATCTTATCGTTTTTCCTCCTTCGTATGTTAGCACTGAAGTCATACGCAATCATACGGAATCCCCCCGCCAAATCTTTCCAATGAAGATTATGTGAAATTTTATGTGATGGAAGCGTTTCCTGTCGGTGCGGAAAAATGCTGTGGGTGACGTTATAGCTTTTGAATGACGTCATTGATAAAAAAACAACAACAGAGAACACAGGTTAAAAACTTTTCCTTTCACAATTAATAGCGAATCCAATATTCGCGTAGCTTTGTGGACCGACTAGCGAAACGTATTTAACTATCATTAGAGAGGAATTTATTATGACATTAACATTCAAAGAGGGTATGCAGGTCGTCTTCACAAAAAGTTCATGGATATCCAGATGTATCGGTCCGTCCCCAGTCGGTTTGCTTTATCTTATCTCTAACCCTTTTTATCTCTGTTAAGAAGGATGTTTTTCATATTTTTTTTGACAGAGAAAAATGTACTCACCACACAGTCTTAGTATCATTACGACTTCTGAGTTCAGTATAGGATATTCCGCGAACACAAACACGCAAATAAAACGTGCTAGATGGAATAAAACACAGCCACGTTATTTTAGGAAATCCCACGATCTGCCTAGTCTCCTCTTCAGGCGAACGCAAGGAAATGCAACATCGTCTAACTTACCTTACTACTGTAACTCTTTTCCATTCATTTTTTTCTCTTCTTACGTTGGGAGCGAACATGCACACACAGAGGCACCTCCTACAAATATGCACACACAACTAACCTCATACACACAAACACACACACACACGAGCATCCCTTACACACACGCACAACCCCGTCCCTCTCCACATACACACACACACACACACACACACACACACACACACACACACACACACACACACACACACACACACACACACACATGCACACACACACACGCACAACCCCGTCCCTCTCCACACACACACACAAAAAAAAATTCACATGAATATACACACTTCAACTCTCCCGTCAGTTCATGGTTGGCGCAGTAGTTCGGAATGACCACGTTCTCTATCCCGTCAACTGTTATCTGTGTGTTCCAGTAGAAGAGAGGGAAGGTCGGGTCATGCGGGTAACCGATCTCATCGAACACTCCCCATCTCAGCTTGGCCCATTCGTGGACCAGAGTCTTGTCTGATAGAAATAATGATAAAAATATTTAGTTGAAAAAAAAATATATATGTATATAAATACATACATACGTATATATATATATATATATATATATATATATATATATATATATATATATATATATATTGTGTATATGGATAGATAGATGATGGATGAATAGGTGGATGGATGGATGGATGGATGGATGGGTGGGTTGGTTGGTGGATGGAAGTGGAAGGATGAATAAAAATAGAAGCAGGAAGAAAGGCAGGCAGGCAGACAGACAGATGAATAAATAGATAGATATGTATATATATAGAGAGAAAGAGAGTCTGGTTTGAGATATTAAAACATGCTGCAAAAATAACAGCACATGTAGCTTCCTTATCTACAAAAGCAGTGATAATATAATACATCAATAATTGTGCACTATATGAATATAAACAATATATAAAACACCGTATAGATCTTTTTCTCAACGAGGGTCAAGGAATTAAACAGGCCAGGAACGTACTACGGGGCCCCCACCAAGCTGCCTGGGCGTCGTCAGTCAAGTACTCCGGTGTGAGGTGGATGTACCGACCAGGAACACCACAACCCCCTGGCTGGTCGGTGTATGGTTGGTCGCCGTACACCACGTTCCTCGCGTCGACTCGGATCTCGCTGTCCTGTTGATGAAAATTGTTGCAAAGAGATTATCGGTGTTTGGACACGTAAGTGAGGCTTGTTCTGAATAAGAGAATGGGAGTTTTGTGTATACTGTAAGGTTCAAGGATCTTACAAGGTAAATAAAAGTTCTTCGCATTTCGATAACACAAGTTTAATTATTAAAGTGATTGTCAAAGTGACTTCAGCTATTTTCACGAATAAGGAAAAATGTTCTTTAACGTAGTAAAAAGACAGGAATGTTAATATTGATATCTAAAAGTCAATGGTTATCCCTTTAAGAACCCAACCTGATAAGTCAAAGATAATGTCATGTCTCGGCCGTAATAAGTTTAATTTTGAGATGTAGTAATCTCCAAGCGTCGCGGGATGATTGGTGTGTGTGGGCGGAGGTGACTATACACATTTTATATCTGAGTAATCGAAATACTGAAAACTTTATTACCTTGCAAGATCATTCATTCTTATACGAAACTTCTATCTCTCTCTTCCTCTTTATCGCTCTCTCATGGAAACGTTCGAGGCTAACTTTTACCGGAACATCATACGGAACAAAGCAGTCAGGCTTCGCTATGGTGGACGACATCTTCGCTGTGGTGCCGATTAGGACGAATCTACAAGATCTCCAGAGATTAAATGCAGTACAGCCCTCCATACAGCTCACCACAGAAGAGGAGAGAGATTAACAGCTCCCTTTCCTCGACACCTTAATCCATAGGAGACCTGACGGCCCAGTGTTCTCCATGTACAGGAGACCCAAGATTAATGATGATTTTATACACTATTTCTCTGCCCACAAAAAGGACTAAAGAAGGCGTGGTCACTGGTTTCTTCCTTCGAGCATTTAGAATTTGCAACCTAGAGTTCCTAGAGGCCGAGACGATCATGAATAGACCAAGGGGGATGCAACACAGAACACGACCCAAAGAATAATCATCCCAGGTGTTGACAAAATACCTGGAAGCCTGGTGGGACGCATTATGAAGATATCTATCACTTCAGGTAAGAAGATCGGAGAATCTTAAGGAAAAAGAGGTCAGACCACAGCAGACTCCCATCCAGGTGTATCTACGACAAAGTATAGATAGGTGAGACGACGAGGACTTCACGAACAGCAAATCGACTAACACCGCGTCGCTCTCCGATGTCACATGAGGAGCGCCTTCGTTGTTCACGTTGACACCGACAGCCATCTCCCCGAGTGATCCCAAATCTCCATCATAATGCAAGGCTACCCCCACGTGAAGGGAAATAGTAGAAGCGGCGTTCATTCATTCAACCAACAATTTTAACAGCGCAAAGGGGAGCCAAGAACTAGCCAAGTTCGTACCACGCCTTAATCACACTAGATTTTTTCCTCCAATTTTTGCGTTTTCATATGAGCCTTCCGCGTGTATGTATGTATGTATATATGTATATATATTTATAAATATATATATATATATATATATATATATATATATATATATATATATATATATATATATATATATATATAGCTGATTAGTGGCCGACTGCAGATGTTTGGAATGTCCTGTACATTCGGTTTTGAAAGTGACGCTTTTACTGAAGCAATACATATATATATACATCTATACATCTATACATATATATATATATATATATATATATATATATATATATATATATATATATATATGTATGTATATATATATATACATATATACACACATGCACATATACACACTTACGCATGTGGCGCCACATGCATACACAACATACCTAAATAGATAAATAAAGAAGTAAATGATGTTTACCTCGAAATTTTCATTCAGGGCCGCTTCATCATAGGGCGTGTTGATCCATGTCTTCGGCAGGAGAATTTTCACGTCTCTGAAGAAGGCTCTTTGGCGGGAAGCTTTAAACAACACGGAGGAAGTCTCGCTGATCGTTTTCTGTTGAAGACATTTTCGAATATCTTGCTTGAGGAATGTTTCTTTTTTCAGTGCAAGATAAAGAATTTTCATGATGGAAATGATGAATGGAAAAAACGGAAGTCATCAAAACAAACAACATCAGACACACTCATGGCTGTAGAAAAGTCTCACGATTCCTTTCCTTTAATCGTGTTATTTTTCATCCATGTATTCCTTTCAACAAATCATCTCATTTAACACACTGGCCTTTACCCACTGACCTTAATAGACGTGATGATGGCCTCTGCGTTCGACTCATCCACGGAGGGAGAAATGGCCACCACCAAATCTTCGTACCCGTTATTGATCAGATTCGAAGCCGAAGTCGAAGCCGACAGGGTCAGCGTCGCTAACGCTACTGTCAGTGCTGCCGCCAGGTTTCTCATGGCCTTGTTAAAAAAGGTTGTCAATGTGAATGGGGAAAAGGAATGTAGGAATGAAATAATGAAATACAACCGGTGCATGAAAGGTCTCGAGCTCTATATCTCTTCACACACACACACACACGTGTGTGTGTGTGTGTGTATATATATATGTATATATATATATATATATATATATATATATATATATATATATATATATATATATATATTTATATATATATATATATATATATATATATATATATATATGTGTGTGTGTGTGTGTGTGTGTGTGTGTGTGTGTGTATATGTATATACATATATATGTATATGTATATATGTATATATATATATATATATATATATATATATATATATATATATATATGTGTGTGTGTGTGTGTGTGTGTGTATGTATATGTGTATATATATACTGACATATATACATGTATGTGTGTGTGTGTGTGTGTGTGTGTGTGTGTGTATGTATGTATATATATATATATATATATGTAAACACACACACACACACACACACACACATATATACACATATATACATATATATATATATATATATATATATATATATATATATGTGTGTGTGTGTGTGTGTGTGTGTGTGTGTGTGTGTGTGTGTGTGTGTGTGTGTGTACATACTCTTACATGACTTATGGCGCCCTACATGGCACATGCATATAAAGCAACCTGAAGTTTACATATGTAAAGAGAAAGCCATCCTCTTTGAAACGTTAAGATCACCGTCTTCCCTGTTCAAAACTGAAAGAAAATTTAATCTAAGTAAAGACAAGCAGTCAAGTGTCTTAGATTATTTTGTGTATAATTCCCTCTCTACGGCATATAAAATCCACATAACAGCCTGATAGCTCCTGATCAGAAGCAACATTTTCCCCTCTGTCTAATCCCCTCTGAATATACATGAATGAACTTACCGCTCCTCTGAATAAGATTGAATATTCCCTTCCGGCGTTCCTTAGTCAACTGAGCTTCGTGCGG